CCTGCTTAGGATTTATAGAATGTAAATAAATTCAATTCAATCCAAATCTGTGAGCTGTTAATTCTTACCACTTTTTAAAAGCTGCCTCTTTTTTTGAATCATTTATTATATTTGTGGTCTTCATTCCCTTGTGAGATATCCATTCCAAAGTAGGCCATTTAAAATGTGAATAACTTTTTAACTTAGTGTTTTCTTCTATTTATCTCACCATCAGTAGCCATGCTATAGCTCAGGCAGTTCAGTTTTGGCTTCCCTTTATGTAGACTTATAGTGGGATGCTATGATGAAAGTTACCTGGTAAATTTCATATTTGCCCATCTCAGCCTGCTATAATCTGAACTTATGTGGAGCTCATGCTGGAGTTCATCATATTTCTCAAAAGTAGGTCGGCGTACAAGGAGTACATATATAAATCTAAATCCAGTTAAGATTCATAAAGCGCATTTTTACTGTTATTGAATTTGATGTTTATGTAACACGTGAAAATTAGAAATAATATGTGCGTCTTTGCTGTGAAGTATCTTTACAAGTAAATAAGTTTCCAACACTGTGACGGTGTGTAAAGTGCATCAGTTTCCCCAAAGCAGTTTCAGTGCTCCAGATGATGGCTATGTGGGCTGAAACCTGTTGTGAAAAACAGGGCAAATAAAGTGAAAGAATTAAGTAAAATAGTAAAAGTAAAGCTATCCCTGTACCAGGCCGTGAAGGCCCTTAGGGTTGTGAGACGTTGAGGGTCCCACATTATCTAGACAATCGGCTCAAAGATGGCGGTAATGTTGTCAGCCTTATGTGCCAGCCCCGCTTTACTCCCCAAGAAAATTATTTAATTAATTCCTGGTACTCATTTATGTTAGAGGTTGAGTCGACACCAGGGCCATAGTGCGGCTGGAAGGATTAGGTCAATTGAAAAAATCCAATGACCTCATCGGGACTTGGACCCGCTACCTTCCAGCTTGTAGCATAACCCCTCACCCAACTATGCTACCGTGTGCCCCTGAAAGAATTAAGATGGTTGAAAAGTAAAAATAAAGTTTGAATTTTAATACTTCTAGCATCAGTTGCAGAAATGGATATGTGGAAAGAATGTGGTGCAATAGAATGTTGAAATACAACATTTGTGCCTTTCAACAACAGGTTTAACCGAACTTCATGACATAGCTCTTATCACTCCTCTTTTGTTTTTGAATGGTTCTGTGTTAATTTTGTAGCCCAGAAACTGGCTATCTTGATGATGATTTTTTCTTGGCTTTCCTTTAGCTCTGTATCCATATGCCGTAATGGTACCTTAAAGTAGGCTCTGCTGCTTTTGTCTAAATCTTCACCAATTTATAATTGAGAATCAGTCTATCAATTCAACATTATATAGCCTCTTCAGTTAAAAAATGCAGCTTTAAATGAAGCAAGAATCAGTCAGTTAAAATAAATTGTATCTGAAAGACGTGAACAACAGAGATGAACAGAGAGATGGAAATTTGCAAGATGCTTATTTGAGAACTGTTCACTGTTTCTTTTTGAAGGATGTGTGTGTTTCAGGCTGTGATAATAGCACGCTACTCTGGGGCTGTCAGTGTGTGCTCTGTGACAAACCTGCGGAACCTTCTGGGAGAGTCACCTGAGTTCCTGGCGGGACCCCCACAGGTCTCATCCCTGTGCACTGATCATGGTTTCCTTGGCTTGGAATGTGAGACTAAACTTACATCAAAGAAGTATCCATGGGATGGGCATATCACACAATCTGAAATAGTAAGCAACATAATACTGTTTCCTATATTATGAAGGGGGTGACATGAGAGGAAAGTTATACATGAATGGGCAAGTATACTTTTGGGGGTAGTATTAAAATGGTGCATTTCATTTACAAATGATGAAATTCTGCTCCTTGAGTATGTGCAGTTGTCTCACAATGAGGACTATTTCATGTCATGTTGAAATCATAACAAAACCCTGTACAAATAGTTACCCCTTACTTTTTCATTAGGGACTGTGGACTTCAGTAGAAGGGACTTCTGGGTGTTGAACAGTACTTTCTGAGGCACACAATCTTGTTATTATGCTAATGATTTTCATAAAATTCAAGAGCTTTGTCAAACTGACAAGTAGAAATAATGAAGCTAATGAGTAGGAAGCAAAGTGTAATAAAGGAACAAGTGATAGAAGTATCCATATACAAGATAGGCAATATTGTCATGGGTTTAGTGACTAGACACAGGGTTTGGATTGGTAATTCAATTTACTGAACGCTTACAGAATATCACTACAATTAATTATAGCACTATCTCTAATTCACATATTCCACAGTTCACTACAGCAGGCACTAAGTCTTCTCAGTCTGCTGTCTCTTCACCAGTTGTTGCCTAGCAACACTCACAATGCTGTAGGTCCCATAGCTTCCATGTTCCACAGCTCTGGTCCTTGCTGGCTGGCTGTCTGCTATCTCACAGCACTGTGCACACCCGTGACCAAGAGTCACACTTCACTGACACCACCTTTGCCAAATGGGAATTGTCCGTGAACACACTATTTAAAGCAAAGTCCATAAAAGCCTTTCAGTCAAACACATATTTCGTTTAAATCACTAAATCAGATCAAGATCTGGTGTAGTTGACTCAACCTCTGACTGTCTACTGATTCAATTCTCACTCCAGCCCCCCTCTACCAACTGCTTCTCCTCCAACCCTAGCCTCCCCACTTGTCTGAATATGGCTGGATGTGTCTGAGTTATACAGGTTGTTTCAAAAAGAGCTTTACAACTTTAAAAGCTTATATAAATGTATACAGAGGACATACACAATGTTTTGAACTGTCATAATGTAGCAAAACACACAGACTTTCAAGCATGTGGTACTGTAGTACCCAATACCGCCACTGCAAGTGCTCCCGCAGTTGAAATCAAGATGGCTACTTTCACAGGTGCAGAGCATGCTCGTTGTGTGTTTTGGTTTGGAGAAATGAAGTCTGCTACACAAGTTCAAAGGAAATTTCGCACTCAGTATCACAAGGAACCTCCAAATAGGCCTACAATTTACTCCTGGCACAATAATTTTGTTCAGACCGGATGTTCTGTGCCCCATGCCAAGCCACCCGGTCGGCCACATGTTTCTGACACTAAAGTGGAACAGATTAGGGAGAGCTTCATTCGAAGTCCATGAAAGTGAACGCGATGTGTCTCTCGGGAAACTGGTATTCCAAATGTTACTGTGTGGCAAGTGTTACGAAAACGTTTACACTTAAAAGCGTACAAACTATCCATCGTTCAACACCTTACGGATGCAGATAAGGTGGTTCGTAAGGAATTCTGTATGCAAATGTTTCGTCGGATACAAGACGATGAGAAGTTTCTGGACTCCATTATTTTCAGTGATGGGAGCACGTTTCATGTCAGTGGTAAGATCAATACCCACAACTGCAGGATCTGGGACAGCAAAATTCCATGTGTCCCTGGAACATGTTTGTTNCCCAAAGGTGAATGTGTTTTGCGCCCTCAGCAAAGAAAGAGTGTACGGCCCCTTCTTCATGGAGATGACCTTTACCGGTATCGTATATCTGGACATGATCCAAGAGTTCCTCATTCCACAGTTAGACGAAGATGACCAAGAAGGACGCATTCACTTCCAGCAAGACAGCGCACCCCCTCATTACCTTGGAGAAGTGCGCAAGTACCTCAACACCCGTTTCCCAGGTCGGTGGATTGGTAGAGTGATGCCTATAACTTGGCCACCTCGTTCCCCGGATCTTACTCCCCTTGATTTTTTCTTATGGGGATTCGCTAAAGATCGAGTGTTCGTATCACCTTTACCTGCAAATGTCATTAAGCTCCGAACTTGAATTATTGCCTCAGTTACAGAAGTGATGCCAAAGATGCTACGTAGTGTGTGGCAAGAGACTGACTACAGGTGGGACGTCTGCCGCATTACCAATGGAAGTCACATTGAACCATAACTATCGGAGGTAAAACTCGGTGTGTTTTGCTACATTATGACAGTTCAAAACTTTGTGTATGTCCTCTGTATAAATTTATATAAGCTTTCAAAGTTGTAAAGCTCTTTTTGAAACACCCTGTATAATCTCTGCATGGACTGTGCAGAAAACACCTCTTCTTGCAGTTGCTTTGTTAAGGTATGACTTGGCCGCTACGGCAGACTGCATGTAAAACACTGCTTCCAGCAGTTCTTCTGTTATTGCATACGTAAGTATGGCTGCTATCCATGATGCTTACTGAGCTATTGCATAGCAATGGGCATCTGTTCAGATTAAACTGTTCTGGCTTTCAGCAGACATGCCACAATATATAGGCTGGTTGGGGTCTAGAAATGTTTGGGATGTCATGATGAAGAGGTAAATCTGTCATATGGTTTTCTAAATTTGTCATGGATTGTGTCAGGTTTGCAAGGATGAAGGTTTCTGTTTCTTGGGTGAGAGCTCATTACTCCCAGTAATAAGGTGATGAAGATAATGGTGGACAGAAAGGATCTACAACTTAATGCAGGTGAACTCAAACAACAGTGGCATCTGACATTTCTACTTTCCAGAACATTCACTGTGTCGGAGGTGAAGTATGTCGTATTTCTGTAGAAGATTCCACATTGGGTTTTCTTCACTTGAACTTGTAACATTTGCCCCAGAAGGCCTCACCATCATTGACCAAATCTATCATGTTCTTACAATCTATAGAGATATCCTTTCATTTAATTTAATTCCTTCCCCTCACTCTCCAGTCAGTGATAAAGTTACTTTAAGTAAGTAACTAAATTTATTATCTGCTGCTATAATCTGGAGTATTAGCACCGCTAACATTATTGGACACAATCTTAAGCTAGCATGATCTTTAGAACGTCTTTCTGTAAGATCCTTCATAACACTGTTTGCCCATCTTCTTGGTCTTATAAGTGGCCTTTCTTCAGTGCATCTCCCCAAGTACTGTATTCATTTTTTGTCTACTTCATCTGAGCTACATATTCAATCCTTGTAGCCTCCCAGATTTCGGTACCATAACAGTACCCAGTGGTCCGCATGTGTCAGGAACTTTCTGTTGTATGTCACATGTTAAGTGACTAAACCACTGGGATACTTATAACTTGTGACTACAATTAATTACAGCGCTTCTGCTAATTCACACACACTACAGTTCACTACAGCATGCACTAAGTCTTCTTAGTCTGCTGTGACTTTGCCCTTTGTCTGGTAACACCTCCCAGTGCCATAGATTCTTCAGTTTGCATGTTTCACTGCTCCAGTCCTCGCTGCTTGACGTCTGTTTCATGACTGACTAGGCGTTGCTTGGTTACAGTCTTTTAACAAGGGCTGTTCCTCATTCCCTTATGGCTTAAAAACTGCACTTCCTAACTGCCAACTCCAGACTGTACTATTTTGCCAATGGCCTCCTAGGCAGGGCCTAGGACCTCCGTTCCCAGACTACTAACCACTGACTAGTAGGCTGCCACTCAAATTAGGTCTTGTTATATATAGCCTTGGGGCAGATGCGACAGAACACACTGCCTACTGCAGTTCCTGTGTTGTTGTGTGTGTGACTGTTTATGTGGTCACATGACAGTTGCTAACCATTGCACTGCAACAAATGTTTGCCCAATAGTGACATCACGTGTTTACAGAGCTGTTCCCTTGTAACAGCTAAATCTGCTGGTTTCCCAATTCTGGCTTGCAGCAGACATGACACAGTAATTCCTCAAATTCCTCAAATACTTCATTCCTCCTAGGTCCAGATATTTACCTGAGTACTTTGATTTCATACCTTCAAAATTTACGTTCTTCCCTCAGAATAAAAGACCATGTTTCACAACTGTTGAACATAACAGATTACAGTTATGTTGAGAGTATGAATTCATTTCATAGAATAGTGATGATGATGATGACGATGATGGTGATGGTGGTGATGCTGAAGATGTTGATGCATGTGAAGACTCTTCACTACTCAATAAGAGCTCAGCATTCATCCAGTCAGCAGTATACATGGTGACAGATATGGAACGTTTCCAGCCTAGGAGGAAGAGACCCAAATTGTGCCATCGAACCTACAGGCTTTTGGGTCTAAAGAGTACAACTCCTGAAGAGCTGTATGCTAGAAAGGTAAACTGTATGTGGCTCACACTGATAGGGTTTCATCCTTGTTGTTTCACCTATGAAGTTTTGATAATTTATTCACTCTAGAAGAAAGCAATTTTTAACACAGCCACACCTGGTCTCCTTGTTGCCTGCTTATTTACACCTAAGAACACTTCTGCTGTAATACATACTGTGATACTTCTGTTTTAATGAACAGAATAAGGTAAAAAATGTAAAGTTGTCTCTCTGCTTAACTAATTAACCCTTTCGCCCGGTCATTTAAATTCCGCTGCCGTGTCTCTCCGGCGGTAATATATTCAGCCGACCATTTAAATTTTGCTCGAAAATGATTTATTCATCATTGTTCTTAAATTATATGAGATAGGAACATGAAACTTTCACTAAAATGATCTTAAAAGGTGGTTTTATAACCTTACCTTATAATATGTGCGCCCAGTATCTCAGCAATGGAAGCAGTTGGTTTAGAATTTGAGCAGTGTATGGTATGCTTTGAAGCATGAAACTTTCACTAAAATGATCTTAAAAGATGGTTTTATAACCTTGCCTTATAA